TTATATACAATTATTATATACAATTATATACAATTGTTATATATACAATTTATTATACTATATATTCCAGTTCACATAATAAAAATTTATCAATTAATTTTTTTTTCAATTATTTTATATTCATTTTTAGCAAAATAATCCATATAATAAAATTCTATTCAAAATGAGAAAATAGATTACGTAATATCAATTCGGAAAAAGTTGTTCGAATCATAATTGATCGGGAAAATTTACTTTAAATCAAAAAGTCGTGGGTGAAAATTTGAAAGTCGATTATGATGTAAAACTAGTTAACTAATTTCCAAGGAAATTTGCAAGTAAAAATCTCCCCATTGTGTCCAATTCCCGTTTCTTAGGGGCGAATATCAAAACGATTCTAAATATGTCGCCTAGAATTATTTACCAAAGCGAAGTTCCAGCGAGATATTTTTTACCGAGTGAGCGAAAGTCCCTGGAACTTAACGATTTCCAGCCCGTAGATTTATCACGATCAGCTAACTAATTGTCTTGTTAATTTCATATATATAACTCATTGACGAACGCCATTGGAGGAAAAGACAAGATTCTCCTATTAGAGGATAATCGGTTGACGGAATCCTGTTAAAAGCATTTTTAAATACACGAACCTATCTATGTGGATCGAAAATTTCATGGTCATTGACTCGTCGTCTCGTCTCTGTTTATCATGAAGGCCGTGGCTGAGCCACCCAGACTTTTGGGCGACCCTACAAGATATAAAAAAAACGAAAGGTGTCCGACTCGCGTGTATATTCTTAGTGGTTCGGATAGACCGTCAAATTAAGAAAATGTATCTTGGCCATCGTTACGTTTCCCTTCGTTTTCATCTTATCGTTATCTTTCGATCGAGATCTGTTGAACTTCATTTGTCCTGACTTTAAAAGTTCGAACGACTTCTAATTAGGAGGACAGTCGAAACAAAATAAATCTTAGAAACGTTTAAAATAGAGAATATCGATTTGTCGAATCGCATACCAAATCTTGGGACGAAAAAGACCTCGATAAGATAACGTTCCTATCGATCTTTTTTGTTCTTTTTTTTTTCTGTTTCTTTTTTTTTTTTTTATTTTTCGATTGTAATAAGTATTTCCCAACATTTCTTGAAACAAAACTCTATTTTATAAAGTATAGATATATAATGCTTATATAAACAAAATGTCTTAAGTTTTTTTCTAAAACATTATCATTATTCTATTCCATAAGTAAAAATGAGAAAAAAATGTTCTATAATATTTTTATAATGTAATATAGTATTTTATAAATATTTTATTAAAAGGTTATCTTTTTATTATTTTTATATTATATTATAAAAATATAAAATGACAATAGATTGATTTTTTGTTTGATAAAATATAAAAATATTGTTAATATTTGATGATTTTTGAATATCTAAAATCATTAGATCAAATCATGTAATAGATTTCTGAGCAATGATAAAAAAAGTTTACTAAATATAAAATAATATGTTTCAAAAATTAATATTAAGGGTTTATAATATAAATTTATAAGAATTAAGAAAAATCAATAATATTTGTAATGCAATAAATTTAATTTTTCATAAATATCAATTTCATAAATAACAAATACTAAACTGACAATCTATTTTTATATATAATAATATCGAATAAAAAATTCAATTTGTTATTATTTTTTATATTCTGATTTTTCAATAAAACATTTATAGGAATATATTTATATAAATTTGTTTTTTATTTTTGCATATAAATAAAATTTTATGCATATAATTTTTAAAATTGTATATTTAATTATATTACTATTACTATATATATTATATTATATTATATTACTATATAATGTTAATTAAAATAATATTAAATAATATTTTAATAAAATTTAATAAAAATATTTAATGAAATAAAAATGAATTAATAAAAATTAATGTAATATATATGTAATAATGTACATAATAATACATATATAATGTAATACATATAAAATATTAAATATGTATGATTAATTTCCATTACAATAGGTTATTTTTATTTATAATATTCTTTTGTAATTTATTAAAATAATAAATGTTAAAAATTTTCATACAATCTATAAAATTTTCTATATTTTAATAATTACGGATAAAAATAATTATGAAATCCCAAAAACTTCGTGATTTTCTTGAGGGTGGTAAACACTAGTTATAGGAATGATCATCAATTTTATTTCATTAGAATTGGTTATTTTAAAATGATTTTATTTATTAGCAGTAACTTTGAAAGAAGCATTTGGTACAAGATAGATTGCCAGATAAAGATTAAAATATAATTTGCACATTATTCGAAAACTCGTAGATAATCAAGATAAGAAAAAAATAAGATTTTATTATGATATAGAATTTTTCTTTATCTTTGCTTTATAATTTTTTTCTTTTGCTTTATAATTATCATGTGATATAGTTTATCATAATAATTTTCAAAAATTAATTTGACATAATTTTAAATAATCTTATATCATATTTTTATAATTTATATATTTAAATTATAGAATGTGCGAGTTTGGTTATACGCACTTATAAATCCAAATAATGAAATTTCATATTATTCAATAACTTTTCTATATTCATAACTATTCTTATAATATTAAATTCTATAGAAAAAGTTAGTGAAAATGTAAATAACTTGATATTATATCTTATATATACATACCTATAATGAACATTAATTAAATTTTCTAATGTTTTATCAGCCACTTAATTTTACTATTTTTATCATCTATTTTTGTCGGATGAAAATTAATGAAATTTCATGAAAACATGTTTCAAACTCTATTCACTATTATTTTCTTTTTATAATTTATATGTAATCTATGTTATTTGAAAAGGATTAAACAATATAACCAGTAGAATGAGATGTTAAAATATTATCATGATTTTATAATCCTATGACAGTTCTCGTTAAGATAGATCGTAGGTAAAAAGGATGCTTGCTTAATTACTACTGGATATATCAATCGATAGTTTTTTTTTTCATTTCACGTTTTTCTGATCGATACTTATCGTTTACTAACTTATTTTTGTTTTTCTTCCTGAAACTAGCTGTCAGAAAATAGACACATTGTATCAACTAAGAGAGTAAAATATTTTAATTTATCGAACATTCTTTATTTTATTAGAAAGAATATTGTTTCTTGTTTCTTTTATACTTAAGGAAATTTGACTAAAAGAAAATTATTATTTTTATATTCCTTTTTAACAGTGAATTATATAATTATATAAAATTTAAAATATAAAATTTTTATCGAAATGCACATAATTATTAACATTTTATATAAATATTTTTTTATTAAAATTAAAAGTGAGTTAAATATAATGATGAGATTTATAAATATGTAAAATGCTACATAAATATTATATAAGTATCAATAATTTGAATTTCTTTTTTTTGTCTGAATACAGAACATTATTTTTTTTATTTGTTATACATATTATGTTACATGAGTTATATCATTATTGAAAATATTTTAAATATTGAATTATAATTAAAACAATTTATTATTAATTCAAATATTAATAATTATATAATATA